GGCAGAACAGACATAGATAAGAGGCATTTGTAAAAGTGTAGTCAGATGTTTGTCTCATAAGACTTTTTCTGAAGCATTTCCAAGTGCTACCCAACAGAAGTGTGTGTGCATGCAAACACATATACAATTAATAACATGTTCTGTTCAAGATTGGGAGAAGTAGACCTTTTACTATTTTTCTTTATGTACAAAAATATCTAAGGCACTGAAAAATGATGATGATGATGATTATTATTATTATTATTTGAACTTATTTATTTTATTTATTTGGTTTACTTTTACCCCGCCCTTCTCACCCCGAAGGGGACTCAGGGCGGCTTACACATCCAAGGCACAATTCGATGCCCATAGCATACATCAATAATAACAATAAAACAAAATAACAAATTAGCAAACAACAACAATACATTGCATCTAACCCGTTAAAACCAATAAAACCAGTAAAATTCCATACAAACCGATACAAACCGCTTCTTCCTTATTGCCAGTCAATGTTCGCTATCTCATGGTTCAGAGTTTTCTTCCACATTTATCAGTCCACATATATCAGTCCTGCCGGTCCTAATTGCCTGGTTGTCCTATCTAGTTAGCAGATTGCCCGAAGGCCTGGTCCCACAACCACGTCTTTGCCTTCCTCCTAAAGGACAGGAGTGATGTCAATGCCCTGATATCCACTGGGAGTGAGTTCCACAGGTGGGGGGCCACCACTGAGAAGGCCCTGCTCCTCGTCCCCACCAGCCTTGCTTGGGAAAGCGGTGGAGTCGAGAGCAGGGCCCCCTCAGATGATCTTAAATTCCGTGGTGGGACGGATATGCTGCCACTCCCCTGGGGCTCGGAGCGGCTTACAAGAATAGCTAAAATCTAACAAAATTTAAAAGCAATTTAAAACAATTTAAAAACAGCAATATCAAACATTAAAAGCCTGTCGAAACAGGTATGTCTTACATGCCCTGCGGAAAGCTGGTAAGTCCCGCAAGGCACGGACTTCAGGTGGCAGAGTATTCCAGAGTGATGGTGCCACTGCTGTGAAGGCAGTGGGATTTGTGGGATTTATGGGATTTGTTCTGTAACAATGCAGTATCCCCATGGAAATATTTACAGGAAACAATACTTTAAAAAATATGTTGTTTTCTGTTATTACTAAATTACTGCAAAGAAAAATAATACTGTGATTTTATCTGTCATACTAACATAGGGCAAGGTTGAGAAAACTATTTTAAACTTCTGACTTCCTTTGAAAACAAAGGTAGTATGAGTGCAACTAAAATGTATATTAGCTGAAAACTTATTTTGAAAGAGTAAGTTCTACATAATTTATTTCTATGTAAAGAGATTAGTTAAAATTCATTTTTTAATCTTGCTTTTCCATCTTTCCCCTACAACCACATATAAAATTCTCCTTATGACTTTCCAGCCAGTATTTGTTATTTCTAAAAATGCTAATCCAACCCAGGGTTGGATTAATGATGGAACATTCCCTTAAAACTTACGCTCATAAATTAAAGCAAGCAGATGTTCAGACATTCCATCTGTGCATCATGCAACCCACTGGAGGTTCATGCATACTTACTGCCCATCTGTTGAGGTAGTTTGTTCTCTGTTCAGTACTTTGTCTCAGGTGGCAGTCAGTTTTGGGTAGGCTGGCAGCCTGTTGAATAGTAAGATGGCCATTTTGATGAGGATTTCTCCATTTTAATTGTGCATTAGAGTTATCTAGCTTCGAATATATTTCTTGATTACTGCCTTTAAACATTTGTCTATTAAAAGTTGATTGCATTTAAGATACATTGTAATGGGTTTCTATAAAGCCAGGCGGTATTTAACATGGTATCTAACATCTAAGGAACAATCTGCTAGTCATGTCATCTAAAGACAATCTAGTGGCACTTAAGAGAAGACACCAGTTCAAAAGTATAGGCATGCTTAATTTTCTGTCTGTGGTTAGAGAGGCCAGCAGAAATGTAACATAGCTAAATTTGGAAGTAAGCCCTTTTGGAATTTTTAGAAGCCTGGATTCCCATTCTTCATTTTGGATTTCACCTTGATTTATTATTCACAAGGATACAATTCAACGTGCCTTTTATGAATCATAAAGAGCAAGACCACTTAGATCCAGACTACCTGAATACTTGCATGTGTTCCCTGTAAAATCCTGCCTGAGTCTTGCAATGGGGATTTTCTCCTTGTTCCACCATCCTTACAGACTTGCTGATGCAGACAAAGGAGATACCCTGCTCTTTGACTAATAGGCCATGTCAATTCCTCCCACTCTCCTCCAATGGAAGGTCAATCTGGTCTCCTTTCTGATCTCTCTTCACTGGCAGGCAAACATCTTTAATTTGGCATTCAGCTTTTAAGTGATTGGGCTAGAAGTAGAGTTGTCAGATCTCAGGGCCTGGATTTGATTTTCTGATTTTTGTGGGTTATCTCCAGTTGGAAGACAAAAGCGTACATTATACAGTCTTGTTGGACTAAGCTTTCCAGGGATGAAGAAAGGGCTTTGTGAAAACAACCAGTTCATCTACTAGGTCAGCAGCTTGCTACGATTTGCAAGATTTGATTTGCTACTGCAAATTTTGAAGATTCTCCAAAGACTCTTCTACACTGCCATGTAACTCAGATTATCAAAGCAAATAATCCACATTATCTGATTTGAACTGGATTATATGAGTTTACATTGCCATATAATCCAGTTCAAAGCAGATAATATGAATTTTATATAGAAGAAGCCTTAGGCCTCTTCCACACTACCTCTATATCCCAGGATCTGATCCCATATTGTCTTCTAATCTCAGGTTATCTGGCAGTTTAAAACAGATAATCTGGCATCAGATCCTGGAATATAGGGCAGTGTAGAAGGGCCCTTGGCTTCCTCCTTGCATCTCTGCTGTTTTAGGGCTCACCTTCTGCTCTGCTCTGAATCTATCTTCAGGTTAGAATAAATTAGGCTAGATTAAATATTCCTTATGTTCCTTATTTTGTCTCCCTAAGGGCCCTTCCAGACAGGCCCCATATCACAGGATCGAATCCCAGGTTTTCTACTTTAAACTGGATTATAGGGCCTCCACCAGCCCCTGCCCTGAAACTACTGCACAAGCCCCTAACCTTCCAGTATTTATTACTGTTCAGGTTATGGATTGTTTTAAGATGTTATGTTATTATGATGTGTTTATTTTTTTTCATTTTATTGTGTTATGTTTTAATCTATGTTTGTCCAGGCTTGTCCCCATGTAAACCACCCCAAGTCCCTTCGGGGAGATGGAAGTGGGGTATAAAAATTAAGTTGTTGTTGTTATTGTTGTTATTTACATTGTAGTTAACTTAATGTTTGAATGTGCAAAATGTTAACACATTAATTTGTTATTACCAAAATATCCAAAGACAACCCAATATTCATTTTGGGAGTTCAATTTTGCATAGCCTGGGTAGGCTGCTGATGGTGATACAATATATTGCTAGAGTGCCCAAGGGACACTTGTCAAAAATGACAAAAAGAAACCATGACCGTAGCTCAGGTACAAAGTGACTCAAGCCTTTTAAACAAAGCATTTTCAAAATATAAAAATTTAATACTCTATTCCTGCATGTAAGAATGAAATACATAAAGATTTACAATCCTATTGATCATTTATTTATTTATTTACTTCATTTGTATACCACTATTCTTAGCCCTAAGGCGACTCATAGCGGTTAACAGGAATCAAGCAAAAACAAGGCAAAACAATCAAAGCAAAAATTCAATGCAGCATCATAGCGGTACTTAAAAACAATTAACACAGAAGCAGATTAAACAATTTAACATGAACAATAATTCTCAATATTGGAAAGTGAACAAGAGAATGAGCTGGCGAATGCTTTATTTATATAACTATATATCTATATACACACACAGGTATATTAAAAATGCATATATCCTTAGCAGCTTTGATCAGCAGCATGGATGGGAATAGGATTGTATGAGGTAGCAATGGGTATTTCAAATACACGGGAGTGGAGGAGAGATTCAAATACTCTGCCCTTTATTATCATTCAATATGAAACATGGCTAGCTTGATTGTTCTATTTTTAAACTAGATTGCTGTGTTTGCTCTAAATACTTCTACTGGTGATTTGTTGTCCAGAACAGTCCAGGTTGTCTGCTGTTCCCTGAAATTCCACAATCAGCATATTTAAAAACATTAATAGTGAATATATATGTATTTGCAGAAAATACATTACAGGGTCAGGAAATGGCTTAAGGTTATTTGCCTTATATTTTATTTGTGGTAGTGAACAAATCAGGAAGAATAAGCAGCATTCAGAGAAATATGCCTGTAAGAGGAAAAAATGTGGCATTCCTTTTAATTGAATGTGTTTTTCCTTCCTGCCTGAGGCCAGATTCTCTCTATTTTCAGTTACTTTTCACAAAAAACATTCAATAGTATCAAGCTCCAGGCTATCTGACCCAAAGTCCTCTTTACTAGTCTCGAACCAGGGAATTTGGGAGTGGAAAGGAGAGGAAGGATAGAAGAAGAAACACAATCTCAATTCATCTCAGTGGTTTTTTGTCGCTTAAATCAACAATACATTTTTGTGTGCTGGAGCTTTTATAGTGTATTATTAGAATATGGGTCAAATATTGCTTCAAAATAATGTATATTATATTATCTCTTTTATATTGTTGAGGGCGATGTGTAGTGATTATGTGTGTCTGTACTCAAGTGCACATGCATTCATAGGTTTCCAGCTGTTAGAAGTATCTGGAAGCAGTCTGAAATCACTTCTATGAAAATGGATTTTGTGAAGTGATATAGTTCTAGCAGACTGTGAGAGGGAGAAGGAATGCACAGAAAAGGAACCATTCATAACAGTTGTTCCTTGGGGCTCTATATCATCCTCATGTCCATTCCTTACAAGAAAAGTCCTTCCCCTTGAAAGCACTGTAATTGGAAAAGAGTAGTTCAAAATGGTTAAAGGCATGTTTTCTGCTATGTAATCAGCATCATTCTTCTTTACCACAGATAACAGCTGCTGGAGGACATCTGAAATTTACAGTTTCATATGACCTCATTGGGGAAGAAGATGCTGCCGAAGCAATGCTTCAATCTGATGTCATCATAGAGGTAGAGTATTAACACATCTCTTAATGTTCTTGTTCAGTAAATTGCCAGCAGCACACAGTCAACTGACCTCGTAAAATGCTTAAAGAAGAAGCAGAATGCAAAACCCTCCCCCATTTCCAAACTCGAAGCTTACAATCCATCTAAATTTCCACAGTAGAGAAGTCAATATCTCAAGGGAAATGTGAAATGAAAATCAGAGGAGTAAAAGGAAAACATGTATATTTGAAGCCCTGTGTTCCTAGGATCACTGTACTTTGAAAGGATGACTAACAGCAAATAGTGATATTAACAGCCTTTCAAACAATGTAAAGCAGTGAACAGCTAAACATATTTAGAAATCCCATTGATTTTAGTACAATACAAAGATAATGTACAGGCAGTTCCCAAGTTACAAACATCTGACTCAAAGTTACAAATGTGGTGAGACAACAGGAAGTAAGAGAAATCTACTCCTAGGAAGGGAAATTCACTCCTAAAAGAGTTTTCATGGGGAAAAGGTGTATCACCAATGATTGTTTCCACAAGAAGTCATTTTTTTCAATATCCTATTATCACAAGGACAGAAAGTCTGGGGTCATCTTCTGAACAGGAGCACAGACAGCAAAACAAACACCTCAGGAGTGTTAACACTTCCCTATGCTATATATATCTTGTCCGGTGGAATAATACTAGAAATGTGTGTGATTGTTTTAATAATGGTTTTAATAATGGTTATATTGTATGATTTTGTGTTGGTAATTGAATATTTTGCTCTGTGCTGGAAGCTGCCCTGAGTCCCCTTGGGAGATAGAGAGGTATACAAATAAAGTTTTATTATAGTATATATAGAGACAGACAGACAGACAGACAGACAGACAGACAGATAGATAGAGAGCTATATATACGTGGAGTTACACATAAAAATGTACCTGTTCTGACTTACAAACAATTCAGCTTAAGAACAAACCTATCGAACCTATCTTGTTTGTAACTTGGGGACTGCCTGTATTGTGTGCAAGATAAATAAAAAAAGATTTCCCTTGAAGGAAGATAATTGCAAAGCCTATTTATTTTAATGAAAATTACTTCTTGTTGAATTTGTTTGGGATTACACCATATTTATGATGAATATGGTAATTTGGATATGGCCTATACAGTCAAGTAATTTTACACCATTCACTCTGCTTGCCATTTCCATTTTAGGTCAAAGTCAATGTTATGGGTTTGTTTTTGGGTTTTTTTTTAAACAATATACAGTTTGGGGCCTGGTTATTGAAGGGATGAATTGGGTTGCAATGGGTTGAAATGGGTTCATTTGAACCCATTTGAACTGTCTTGAAGTCTTCTTGAGACAGCTAGATTGTGGACACTTCCACCAAATTAATGATTAATTTCCTGAAACTATGGGCCCTTCCACCCAGCCATGTAACCCAGAATATCAAGGCAGAAAATCCCACAATATCTTCTTTGAACTGGATAATCCACACTGCCATAAATTCCAGTTCAAAGCAGAAAATGTGTGATTTTATTCAGGTGTAGAAGGTGGATTGGTTTGAGGAAAGGTGTAAATACATGTCTTTTCAATCTGACCTTTTCCATTGTTTTCATTATTGTGATTATGTTAGTGGTATTATTAAAATTGATTTATAGTTCCCTTTAAAATTGATTTATAGTTAGCAGCCTTTAGTGCTACATTTTTAGTGGAAATGTAGGACCAAAGTGTAATAACAAACAAAAAGAAACAATAATTTATTTATTTTCTTACTTACTTCACTTGTATACCGCTTTTCTCCCGGCAGCAGGAGACTGAAAGCGATTTCCAACATAATTGTATCGAAATGTAATGCCTTACATACAGAAACCTAACATAACAATAATGACATACAATTATCAATTAAATCATGAAACATGACATCACTTAACATTAAAACATGGAATTAAGACATATCAATATAAACAATTAAAATAACATAATCCAACAATCGTTGTCCAATAATATAAATCTCTGCATTTGCTCCTATTGTCCATCCATTAGGCCTGGGCGGTTTCGTTCGTTAATTTTGTAATTCGTTAAATATTCGTTATTTTTAACAATTACAAAACGATTACAAAACATATTTTCAAACCCGGAAGTGTTTTTAAATATCAAAACGGCATCCTCCATCTTTTTTACGGGCTTCCGCCCGTTTCGGAAATGACGTTTTAGGGATGGAGGATGCTGGGTGCGCCGGGAGCCAATCCGGCGCTCTCAAGCACCGTGGCTCATTGTGATTGGGCGGGCTGCCCTTTAAAAGCGGCTCCGCGTGGCCGCATTGCTCATTGCGAAGGAGACGGGAGGTGCGGGAGGGAGGCTTGATGGTTGGCTCTGTCTTGGCTGCTTGCTTGCATTCATTCATTCATTCATTCATTGCTTGTGCTTGCATTCATTCATTCATTCATTGCTGGGAGCAGCGGGGAGGCTTTGCCCTGTTTTCGCCCCACAACAGGGTAGGGCAAGCATTTTGTTAATTTTCCAATTTTAAATATTTCTGAAAAATATCTTTTTCTTTTATTCTTCAAAAAATTCAAAAAATATTCTAAAAAAAGAAGACCCTTGTGTGCCTGTGTGTGTGAGTTTGTCCCTGTCCTGTGGCTGTGTTCGCTCCACAACAGGGCAAGCATTGTTAATTTTCCATTTTTAAATATTTCTGAAAAATATCTTTCTTTTATTCTTCAAAAAATTCAAAAAATATTCTAAAAAAAGAAAAGACCCTTGTGTGCCTGTGTGTGTGAGTTTGTCCCTGTCCTGTGGCTGTGTTCGCTCCAAAACAGGGCAAGCATTGTTAATTTTCCATTTTTAAATATTTCAAAAAATATTTATAAATAAATATTTCAAAAAAATTCAAAAAATATTCTAAAAACGAAATTAACGAAATTAACAAAATTTCGTAAATACTGAACTTTTTCAAAGGAAAATTTTGTAATTATTTTAAATATCGAAATGCAAAAAACCCCCAAATACAAATCGATTTTAGAAACAAATTTTTGCGTTGTTACCCAGGCCTACCATCCATATGTCAATATTTAGATTTTCCCCCAGGACTTTGTCATAAAAAGCAGACAAATCAGCATTGTATACCATGTGCCTTCTGCTGTCAGTCTGTCTTCCCTCTGCCACTGAGATTCCCCTATCCCTAGCTATTAACACATAAAACCCAACAATAGCATCACATCTCACAATGTTCCTTTCAGCTACTTCGGTGTGAAGGGTCCCTTCAATGCCTGTGGTGTCATGCCTGGCGTAAAAATGATGTCAGTGGGTGGAATTATCCTCTTCTTCCCACTCCTCCCTCTCCCTCACTATTCCCAAGGTGGCTATTTTCCCTTTGTTTTAGAATTATCTTTAACTTTTTGTTTTGAAATTCTGGAATTGGTTTAAAACAAAAATAATATAAACAATTAAGGAACAGCAGTAATAGGGTAAGCAGGATTATGAAAGTATGTGGGAGTCCAATCATGAAACCACAAATTGGTGAATCAGTGCAATTGCACTAATGAAAAGAGATGCAGTATCAAAGGTGATAAATAATAATAATAATAATAATAATAATAATAATAATAATCCTTTATTTGTACCCCGCTACCATCTCCCGAAGGACTCGGTGCGGCTTACAAGAGGCCGAGCCCAAATACAATAGTAAAAACAATAACAACAACAACAACAAAATAACTCAAAAACAAAGCAATAACATTAACAACACACAATGACGCAATTAAAAACAATGGCAGGGCCAAATGTAATAATAAAATTTAAAAGTGCTGGGTGTAACCAGGTGGAGTGTTTGGAGGGGGATGGGCATGCAGATATCCTAGATTGCTGATAAAATGCGTTGGGACATAATGCTAGGAGTTTCCTTATTCTGGAAAGGCACATTGGAACAACCACGTCTTCAAGCTCCTCCTAAAGATTGCTAGTGATGGGGCCTGCCTGATGTCTTTAGGGAGAGAGTTCCAGACTCGAGGGGCCACCACTGAGAACGCCCTATCCCTCGTCCCCACCAATTGCGCTTGTGATGCAGGTGGGACCGTGAGCAGGGCCTCTCCAGATGAACGAGGAGATTGTGTGGGTTCGTACATAGCGATGCGGTCACGCAGGTAGGTGGGTCCCAAACCATTTAGGGCTTTGTAGGTAAGCACCTGCACCTTGAATTGGGACCGGAAAATGAATGGCAGCCAGTGGAGCTCCTTAAACAGGAGGGTTGACCTCTCCCTGTAAGGAGCACCAGTTAACAACCTGGCCGCCGTCCGTTGGAGCAATTGAAATTTCTGGGCCGTTTTCAAGGGCAGCCCCACATAGAGCGCATTACAGTAGTCCAATCTGGAAGTGACTAAGGCGTGGACCACCCTGGCCAGATTCGCCTTCACGAGGTACGGTCGCAGTTGGCGCACGAGTCTTAATTGTGCAAAGGCCCTCCCGGCCACCGCCGACGCCTGAGCTTCAAGTGACAGTGATGAGTCCAGGAGGACACCCAAACTGCGAACCTGTGACTTCAGGGGGAGTGTAACCTGGTCCAGCACAGGTTGCCACCCTATACCCCCATCCGGTTTACGATCGACCAGGAGGACCTCAGTCTTGTCGGGATTGATCTTCAGCTTGTTCTTCCTCGTCTCATCCAGCACCCGAGGGGCTTCCTTGGAATTTGGTGGAAAAGAGTAGTAGAGTTGTGTGTCATCTGCATAGAGATGGCAACCAACTCCAAAACTCCGGATGACCTCACCCAGCGGTTTCATATAGATGTTAAAAAGCATGGTAGACAGAAGCATGGTAGACCACGAGGTCTCTCCCAATTATATGATTCTATGGCTTTGCTCCCTTTTCCTCCATGTTTCTTCAGTTATAAAAATATTAAATATTGAGGGGCCTACCATTTATATGAAATATACCTGACATCATACATTTATACCACATTGCTGCACTTTTCTAAGTAGCATTTTGTGTAATTTCTGTAAAATGTTTGTATCTTTAACATTTCTTTTCATTATTAGGGAAGTGGTTTAAGAATCAGCACATCACAGGAGGGTATTCATTTGAACCCATTTGAACAGCATACTGAAGAAGTGTTGCTGAAACACGACTTATTCATGCTGCATGACACTAACTCTCCAGTCAGCAAAAGGAAATTCATGACTGTGTTGGCAAATATAAAACGTCTTCTTATAAGAGCCACATACAGCTATGGGATGAATGCCATCTACAGGTAATTGCAAGAACTGATTTCTGTTTTGTTCAGAATATGATGAAGTCTTTTCTTTGTTCACAGATGAAATTTTGTAGAGAAAGTTGGATTACCATGGTCACCATTCATTTTTCTCAATGCCAGCCTTGTTCAATTCCATATCAATTTGCTTTTTAGAATGATATGGCTCATTTTTTTCTCTTTCTGTGGCAATTACAGTAGTGAAGAAATTTCATAAATTGTTTGGGAACCTCAGGTATTAGCTTAAAGAAAACATTTATACTCATATTGATCCATCTTGGACCAGAAGCAGGGTTAAGTTAAAAAGAAATAGAACAGGCAGACAATGTCTCATACAATGCACAAAGAACATCAGATTTACCAAAATGTATCATATTAATCATTGTGTGTCATATTTATTACGTAAAATTGACTAACAGCCCAGTGTGTGAGAGCATTTCCCAATGCTTAGATACTGAGTTCCACTGAAATTTGTAATGAGCATCATTGAACATTTCATAAAAATGTCAAACAATTTGAGTTGGCTTCTTTTTTATAGGTAGTCTTGTTACAAAACTCTGAACATATTTTAGTTTTAGAATAAAGCCATTGTATTATAGTGAAACCTATTCTAGTGGAACCTACCTCCTTATTATGTGTATTTGGATTATACAGTTTTGCTGTTTATACAATTTTGAAATATGGTATAGTTTCACTTATCCAACTCATCCAATATTCTGTAGTATCCAACACAGTCTGCCTCCCGCAGTGAGATTATACTAGCCCCCACTCTGTCTGCCTTCCAGAGGGATTTGAAAACCTGGATGTTCCAGTGTGCATTTGAATGATGGTTAGTCTCAGTTCATGAATGCCCAGTCCTAATTTACTGATAAGCACTTTATTCTCAGCCCCAGCCCTATAGCTTGCTTTTTGCACAAGCCCATGCCCTGCCCTCTCTAATTGCCCACCATATTCCTGGTTACTGGTTGTTGAGGTTGGTTTGATACACTATTACACTCTGCTATTTTAAATTGTTTTAATTAGATTGTTTATGTTATATTATATGTTAAAATGTTTTTAACTGTGATTTATCTGGTAAATTTTGTTGTATGCTGAACTTGGACACCATGTAAGCTGCCCCGAGTCCCTTCGGGGAGATGCTGGTGGGGTATCAAAATAAAGTTATTATTATTGTTGTAATTTTGGAAAGCTTCAGACAGGAAGAATAGCCTTCCAGCTGGTTGAATCTGAACACTTTGTGGGAAATTATCTGCTGTTTAGTGCCAGATTGCTTCTGATTTTTCTGTAATATCTACCTGATTTACTCAAATGTTCGCTCATCAGACTTGTTATTATTAAATTACTGGAGCAACCACAAATCAAATTAGGCATAACTGGATATTAGAAATATTGAATTTTTTTTTTTGCATGAGAAAAACTCAGACAACTGATACTTTTAGAACTCTGGCAGACATACCCCAAAAAATTTAGACATAGTGAATGTATAGGCAATTATTTGTACTGATTGAACTATGGTGGCTACACTGGAAAGTGCATTTCTAAAACATCCCTGCTTTCCTATCAGTGTCTTAATTTTATTTTCGAATAGTCCTTGGATTTGGATTTGTTTGGGTATGTACACAAGCTGTTATCAAATATTAATGTGGCACTGCTAAAAAAACACCCCCTATTTTATTTGAGTAAGTATCTAATTAAGCATTATTGCTACCTTTTCCTGCCTAGCCCTTATATGTCATATTGTGATAGTTTCATCTCTGACAAAAAAAAATTGCTACCACATCTCAATATATAGAACAAAGGGGATTGTGGAAGTTGTAATTTGAAAAAGTAACTTTGCCAAGCCCTGGTGACCTTCTAAACAGTTACATTTCTGTTCACATTGACTAGATCCTTTACTGTCAAATCTGTCTGTGTCCTCAGGGTAACCTCTTAGTTCTTTCACCGCTTTTTTGTGCATGTCCTTCACTGTAGCAGAGCTTCCATCTTCACTCATCTCAAGGTCTTTGGTTTCTCTGCCAGCTCAGCCTCTTTTGTTTTTATTTGTGTGTATAACTTGCTTCTCAAGGACTATGTTATGTCACCTCTTTTCTTGTCTTTCAAACTCTCTTCAGAAACTAATTGTGCTTCATAATCATTCTACCTCTTGACCTTTGTCCCATAACTAGCTACAAGCGTGCTAATGTAGTTAGCTGGAGACACAATGTGAAGCATAGTCCTTCAATGGAACAACCAAAGTGTACAAGAGGCATCTCTAGGTTTATTGTAAGTAAGATAACTTCCCATGGAGTTGCAGATGAGGGTGTCAGTGCTGTTTAAACAGAGTACAGACATTGGATACCTCCCTTCACCTCCCATTTGCTTGTCTACTGGTTACATTTGCAGCTACGATAATGATGAGAAAAAATTTGTTGTCCTTTTTCAGTGCTGAAACAGCACAGGAATAGATAGAAATGCATTGTGTGGTTTTCATGTATTTTCTTTATTGAAATATTTATACTCTGTCTTATATCAGGGGATTTCAGGATGGTTTACAGTTAGTATTAAAACAGGTTGTGCAGGTTAAAAACAGCAAGAAAGTATACATGAACTAAAACATATGAAATAATACAATGAGAAAAAATAGTAAATACAAAGTAAATTAAAGATCTTTGGGCAATTGTCTCCAGTGAGTTTTCTCCAATCAAAGTAAAAAAACAAAAACAAAACTCATCCATTTCAGCTAATTTGAATTTGATCATTTTCTACAACCAGTATTCTTGTGCTGAAATGTATGCGTTTTCAATTTCTGTACATGTACTATTCTTGTTGCCATACTTGTATAAAATAATATTATTATTTTTCTACTTGGTTGTCTGTCAAATGTAATAAAAAGCAGTCCAGGTTCTAACTGAATATTTTTTTAAATGCTGCCATCAGAACAATTATGCTAGGGCAGGTTTATTTATTTATTATTTATTTGCTTCATTTGTTCCCAATATTTCCCAGAGACCACCAGTAATGCAGGAACCAAGAGGCTCAAACCACAGGGCATTCCCCCTCCTTGAAATATCTGTCACATCTACACTGGTGCACCTCTTACATGGGAATCTAAAAATGTTGTAGTCCCTATCTCACACCCAGGGATTTTGAAGTGGATTTTGAAGAGATTTAACCCACCCTCTTTGAAGAAATTTAACCTTACTCCCACTGATCCTGTCTCTCCTACCATCATCGAAGAGAGGTAGTGTCCCTGCTCTGGTGTTTTCCCCAAGGGATCATCACCAGGGTCAACCCCACAGGGCTTTTACATACTCTTCCCACCCAAGAAACTGAAGGCTTGAAAAGAAAGACACATCTATGCAAAATCAGCTCTGTATATCAGAGGTTTATTGGGATTCATGCATAGGCCCCTGAGTAAACAGAACTTCAAAATGTAGAGAGGTTGGGATCAGGCCAGCAAGAACAATTTTGACATGTATCTGGAACATAGAAAAAATGCTTTTATGAACCCAGATTCATCCTGCCAGTATGTGTAGGAATCAAACCAAACTCAAAGGAAATGGCAAAATGGTTTCTAACAAAAGAAATAAAAGTAAATTCCCATTTACCATAGGGAATCAGCCTGACATTACTTCATATATTTGCTGCAGCATCAGCATGGAAGTGCTGCAGCATATACTCTCATCTATGTCCCTGTGGCACCAAGGGATCAAGATAATAGCCAGATCTAACAACTGATAAATCTCCAAGGGCATTCAAGAATCCTACATCCAGTAGTGTAGGTGTGTGTGTGCCTTCAAGTCTTCTGTCAACTTATGGGGACCCATTCATTTCAAGGATTTTTAAAGGCAAGGAATACTCTGAGGTGGTTTGCTACAACCTTCCTCTGAAAAATAGGCTATGGCACCTGGCATTCATTGGCGTCCTCCCATCCATGTACTAACTACAACTGTCCCCGCTTAGCTTCATCTGTAAGAGCCGGCCATTTTATTTATTTATTTATTTATTTACTATATTTCTACCCATCCCTTTCTTATCCCGGAGGGGACTCAGAGCGGCTTACAGTTTGGCAAATTTCCATGCCACATTACAAAAACAAATATATAAATACAACACAATAAAAACAGATAAAACATATAAATGCAGTTAAATTATTAAAACATAACCTACTCCTGTAATCATCATTCATGCTTCTATGTTTATGTCGGTTCCGTATTGCACTACTCCCCAAATGCCTGGTTCCATAGCCTGGTCTTGACTTTTTTCCTGAAAACCAGGAGGGAGGGGGCAATCTAATATCACTAGGGAGCGAGTTGCATAGCCTAGGGGCCACCACTGAGAAGGCCCTGTCTCTCATCCCCCCCCCCCCAGTCACGCTTGTGAAGTTGGGATGAACACTCTAACTGGTACATAGGGAGAGATACGTTCAGACAGGTAAGTTGTGCCAGAGATGTTTTCATGGGTTTCCCACCTCTGCAGAAGTCTAAATTATGTTATTTCAAATATCTTTACCCACAAATCACTTTGTTTCTGGCAAGAGTGTGGCCTGGTATATGTGTAGAATTAGAGACAGACCAGAGGTTGCCAGATGAAGAGACCTCAGCATGGATGTTAAAATAAGGTCTGGACTGCCGCACCGAGAAATTGCATGGTCACAACTCAGTCAAGTCTCTAGTAAAGCTTAATGGTAAATCAGCCAAAGCAATATATTTAACCCCTAAAAGATAACATAGTGATTGTTGGGAAAAAATTAAAAACCCAGAAAATTGGAATAGTTAGGAGGAAAAAAGTGGCCTCTTCTTACTGCCAAGTTGGTTTTTGTGTGTGCCAGAGCTCTAGGGAAATCAGCAATGCTTGAAGCAATAAAGACTCGTTATTTCCTGATAGCTACAACAAATATCACTCAGACCTCTGTGGTATGAAGTGTGATAGGTTAGTATCTATGTAGCCAGCATTCACATTATAGCTTCTCATAAAAAGTGGCACTCTTCAGTGAGTGCAACTGTGAGATAATGTTGCATGAAATGGAGATGAGGCGACCCAGAGGCTCTGCAGTGGCCTTGCATGTTAGTAGTGATTTCTTTTTCATTAATCTCAGGATATGATGATTATAATAGTGGATTGTAAACTGTGCCAGCTTTTGCTTCAAATGCTGCATCTTCTTTCAATTTTGTTAGCATTTAGATGTCAACAGTGTCTGCCACACTTGCAGCCATATTAAATATTTGGTCTAGATGCTCACATTTTGCAAATACCTAAAGTTCCTGAATCCCATTACTGCCAACATTATATACTTTAATGTCTACAAAATGGCACAGAGGAATATAAATTACTACATTGAAGTGGGGAAAAATGACTTCAGCTTTTTTCAATGAAAAAGAACTGTTAAATGCATTAAAATACCATTTACCAAATAGCAGAACCTAATGAAAATTGGTACTGCTCAGTGAATACAAATGTGGAATAATACTGAGTGAAACGTTCTGTGCGTAACTGTTTCTCATTCCTTCAAATTACTACATACTATAGCACTAGAAAATGATAATAGATACATACAATTAAAAGAACACTGGAGAATTTTGTTGCACCTCTAGCTCTAAAATATTTTGGTTTACTCTTTGCCTGTAATAATCTTGATACTATTTCCCAGATTTTGCCCTAGCTTTTCCTTAATTTGTAATGAAACACATTTGAAAGTAACATAAAGTCAATGCTTGAAAATGAAATAATTAATTTCTAGAACTTATTCTGTGTGGTTAAAATTTCTTCTTTTTTGCAAACCATCTTTGTGTGCTTTTGCCCACTGGAAATGGAATACGAGTGGTTTTATTAATGCATGCACATTCTCTTTCTAGGTTGTCCTTTATCTGTGATCTTCTAGTTTAATCAAAGTAAGATCAGAAATTTGTGTTTACAAATGAAAACCTAATAAACTTTATGTTGAGTATCCCTTATCCAAAATATTTGGGGAACAGAAGAGTTTTGGATTTGGAATATATACATAATGAGATCCCTTGGGTCCCATCTACATAGACCAATGGTTCTCAACCTATGGGTCCCCAGATGTTTTGGCCTACAACTCCCAGAAATCCCAGTGAGTTTACCAGCTGTTAGGATTTCTGGTAGTTGAAGGCCAAAACATCTGGGGACCCATAGGTTGAGAACCACTGACATAGATCATTTAATGCAGTTTCAGACTGTTATTACAGAATGTGGTTTTGCCATGCAGGAGAAGTTAGAACCAGTTTGAGATGCAGATGGTGATTAGGGAAACCACACAGCAGTGATTCACACTAAGGGATTTAGTTTGCATACTTTTATGGGACTTTGTTGTTGCTGCAGTTTGAAGCTACCTTTGAATTGCATAAAATCGTCAATGTAGATGAGGCCTTGGATATGGAACCCAACTCTCAACAGAAAAAGCATGTAAGGTTAAAATATAATTTAAACACATACATTGAAGGTCATTTTATATTAAAATTTTAAAATAACTTGGTTTATATTTATATATTTAATATAATTATATAAATAATACACACATTATAATTATAATGATATACAAGTACATAATTATGAATATAATATAATACATAAAAATTATACACAAACAGTCAGCAACATTTATTCCATCTGGAAGAGCAGTGTCTATCTTCACACACCACCACTGTGGAGTCTTAGAAACACTATATAACTACTATTATGATAGACTAACAGCATTCCATCATTAATGGTTACTGTCTGGAAAAAGTCTCCATTGGGCAATGTGGAACTTCCTTTTTATGAACTGGGTTTGACACCTGGAAAGATCCATTCCTCAATTCCCACAGCCACCCCCTCCCATACAATCCCCCCCCCCCCCCAATAAAAAAACTTACTGGAGGAGCCTACTGGCATTGCAGGCTCCACTGCAGAATACTCCTAACACACAAAAATGGTGCATCAGGAGGTGGGGGAGGGGGATTTCTCCACACATACACACACACACCTCTTGCTACAAGGAAATAGTGTCTGGGGTTAAGAAAGTACTATGAATAGAGTCAAAGGGGTGCTAGGGTAAGGACTGGCAATGCTTCAGGTTCTTTCTTATTGAACAGAAAAAGAAATGTGAACTAAGCACATGGCATTTTTCTATTCATCCTAAGAAGTACAGATGTTTGTTTAAAACAGTGGTTCTCAACCTGTGGGTCCTCAGATGTTTTGGCCTTCAATTCCCAGAAATCCTAACAGCTGGTAAGCTGGCTGGGATTTCTGGGAGTTGTTGGCCAAAACACCTGGGGACCCACAGGTTGAGAACCACTGGTCTAAAAGATGCTGGGAATGTCTGTCTGTTTTGTTTCCTGTAGCACTTTTTTCCAAGAACAAATTTGTTCCATTCCATTTGCCCAAAAAAGTTGTATGAATTTTCATATGCATGAAAGTTTATGTGTGTTGTTGCAATTTCTTCTAATGTACACATATTTTAAAATATTTTTACTCATAACCCTCGTTCTGTATATCTGTTAACTGATGCATGCACATTTATATGAAGTCTTCCATCATCTATGCATTTTGTACATACGTTTTCTGATTAAAGAACTCTACTTTAAAATTAGGAGGAATTAGATGAAATGCAAACCTTATCATATAATTGTGTTCAGTATCATGTATTAGTCCACAAGATGTAAATTTAGGTCTATTCATATGAAAACAAAAATAATTAATCACTTTATCTCTTCTCAGAACAAACTAGTATTAGAGCATGTAGCACTCTAAGCTGGTTACCAAAGTGTATTTTCTCCAGCAGATGTATTTTCAGGTCACAAGTCTATGAAAACTAGTATGACTTTTGGAACAGAAAATAAGCTTTTTCATCTCTTTCTTGTTATCAAATAACACATTGGATGCTGGGAGTAGAAACTGATTCTGTTTTATTCTTTCTAATGTAGTATTTTCCCCCTCTATACACCTTTCTGTTTTCCATAACAACACAGATGTTAAGAAGTCATTTATGCCCTTTGTATATATAACTAAAGTTTCCAGTACTTTCAGAGCAGGAAAAGAATAATTTGTATTTGGCAATTCCTCAGCTTTGGGTTTTAACAAATACCCTAGTTTTGTGTGTGCTTGCAATGGAAATGAAAGCATACAACTTGCAAGCTAAGCACAGTCCTCCTCCTGCTGATACACTTGTTGTGACAGCTTCCTAACATGGGCTTGCCACAGTATAAACATGAATGATATCAAGGCAGAAGCAGTGAGTGGAAAGACACCCTCATTTTAAGTGAATAAACAGTAGCAGGTTATCTCACCAGTTAAGGTCTCCCCCACATCCTGGTCTAGCAGCAGAAGCATTCTAAGATCTATGTCCTTTTGTAGGTGAAATGATAATCTCTCACTATCTTGTTTCTTACACTAGGTTGAGTGATGTCAGTTTGGAAGTTGCTGATCGCTTGTCAACAAGACAAAAATATGCACCTGCTGTTGAAATTTGCCAGTGTCCTCCAGGATATTCTGGTACCTCCTGTGAAGTGAGTGTGCAGAACAGTTGATACATTTCAATTTCAGTGCTATATGAGATTCCAGGATGACATGGTTAGAACAGGCATAAACAACTTTGGCAAGCCCAGGGGCCAATTTTCTCTTGCATCATTCCAAGCCAACCCCCTACAAGCATCATGAGAAGCCACCAGGAAATATTGGTGCTAAAGTTCCTTTTCAAGTCATAAAATAGCCCATGAAACAAACAAGATAAGCTTGTTTTAAAGAAAGGTTCCTTGGTTTGCCACTGCATTTCAGCAGCATTCCTCAATTACTACTGTAATATGAGCACTTGGTTTCTTAAAAGGAACTTTTTTGGAGTTCACTGCTCCAGTAGCAGAATAAGGAACATGCCTTTAAATCAAGTATTTCCTTTTTCTTTTTCTTCTTCTTCTGTTTCTTCTTTGTCATTAGCTGCCAGAATCCAACTGCCTTTTGGGAACACTGGAATCTTCATACATGGCCTTGAGCTCTTCATATCTGGCTTGGAAAATGCAGCCTTATTGCATATATGTGTGTAATTTCCCCATATTTTCTTCCAAATCCTATCTAGCACATGCTCAGACGGAGTACACATATGCTTAGCTAACTTGTCAAGGCATTGCTCCTGGTGGCTGAAAATGCAAAAATCTTCAAAAATCATGCCTTTAAGGGATCACGTTAAAACACAAAGATGTTCTGTTTCACAAAACTATAAACAATGTGCCATTTATACTGGCACTCTAGGCATTTCCTTGTCAGCTCTCTTTTCCTTTAAAGCACACCATGATTTTTATATGTTTACGATTTCAAGCCTTAATTCGTTTTCATTTTTTAGACTAACATTTTCACTTGTGCCTCCTCTTGGGGATATTAATATAGGCACAAAAAGAAAGACTATTCATAAAGGCTAGTGGTTAGTTTTGAGGGTTTTTAGAATTATATGTTTCAAAGCAGTCGTTAAAGTGAGGCAAAGTAAATTAAGTTGTGTCCTATGGCTAATAGTTAATTGTTATTTTATGTATTTATGTATGTGTTTCTTTATTATTTTTCTATTAAAATAACATCTTGCCAACATGTGAAGAGCAGGTAAATAATGGTAGTATGCTATATGGCATTGATGACATCCCCATAATCAATATAAAATGGGAACAACAATCAAATTAAATACTATAACATAAAATAAACATAAAATATGTCTCTGCTGTATCATGTTCAGCTTTCACAAAATAAAATAAAATATGTTATCTGCCTCCTGAGAAATTAGTTCCCACTGGCTAGAAACAAACTCATTGAAAAGCATTTTCCAGCTAGAGAGCTTACAACCTTTGAAACCCATTATCCTTTGAAACCTGTTTGTAAAGTATGTACAAGGCAGAGTGGAGGTTCGATGAAATGAAGCACTCTATTTATCCAAGATATTTACAGGTCTGATTTCCCTTGTACTTTGAAATCCTATTTTACCTTTGATCTCCGAAGTAACATATACAAGCTTCGTGCCTGTAATCAAGAACTCCTTAACTTGACTCTCCTCTCAATGCATTCTTTTCAGCTCATGCATTTAGAATTTTCTGCTTTGATTGCTGTCAATTCCCATCCTTCCTTCTTTCCTGTTTGCATGTGCATTGAGAACCTTTCTACCTTGACCAACATCCATTCCTGTAGTTTCTTGTTATTACAGTTCATTTTTTTTATTGAAGACCCCAGATAAAAGTTCTGTTTTCAATGACACCTAGCTTTTAGGCACTTTAAGTATAGCCCTATTTATTTTCCATCTAGAAACTTCCACTTTCTGGGTAAGGTATTACAACAAAAAGCTTATGCTCACTAGGCAATAAACAGGCATGAGTTGCCCTATCTTGGTACACAAAACCTGCCTTTCTGCAGTGGGTGTGAGGTAATACAGAGGAACATAGATAGAACAGAGACAAACAGACCATATAACTTTGCCAGCATTTTTTCCTCTATGGCAGTGGTTCTCAGCCTGTAGGTCCCCAGATGTTTTGGCCTCCAACTTCCAGAAATCCTAACAGCTGATTAACTGGCTGAGATTTCAGGGAGTTGTAGGCCAAAACACCTGGGGAGCCATACGTTAAGAACCACTGCTCTATGGGATTATAGGTTTGTTTTATGCTACCAACAATCCTTTATTCTCAGCTGTGTCCCTTCATTCCCAGAGAAGGTTTTTGCAGCACACCATCTTGGATCTTTCCCTAAATGTTCATTTTAATTACTGAAGCTGTTTTACATGTTTCTTTCATTGTTGATGTATGTACATTGAAGTTTACTTTTGGCAAACTTATCAAGGAATTTTCTTGGCAATATTTGTTAAGAGGAGATTTTCCAAATTTCCTCTAAGGGACTCATCACATTAAGTGCCCTAACGCAGGCAACAGCTTGGGGGTTTGTCTGGTATCACGGTGAATCCATGTGGCAGTGGGGGAATCTGTCATCTTGCATCCCACACTGCCTGCCACAATGGATTCCCCATCACACGGGGGAAAGCGCAACTGCCCGGCTTGCTTCCCCCACCCCACCCCCAGCGCTGTCTTCATTATTGGCAACAAGAACACAGGAAGCTTCCTGTGTTCTCCTTGCTCCATCGGACACTTCCAGCGCAGTTCAGGGATGGAGCCCTTCTGTAAGTAGCTGTGCATCATTTGATGGTATCTGGTGGGCTTCATCCCCAAACTGTGTTGGAAACATCTTCGGATATGTAAGAAAGCCCATATGATGAAGTTGAGAGGGTTTGACTTGTCTAAGGTATCCCTGTAGATTTCTATGTTTGAGTAAGAAGTCAAATTATGGTATTCTGGAATCATGGTCCAATACCTGATCTATGCTTATTTTATAAGCCTTGCTTATTTTATAGTTATTGAGTTATTTTTTAAAGTGTCTGCATTTATTATTATTTGTTTATATTTTCTTTGTTGTAAGCCCCTCTGAGTCCATTCAAGGAGAGGGAGTGGGATATAAATAAATTATCATCATCATTGAAATGGTAGACTATACTGGCTCTTGTATATGTTTATTGGGTTTCTAAATACATTTCGAATGGATTCAAATGGAAAGCTGGATATGTATTAGTTGTTTTAATACATACATTCACAAAATGGAAGTTGATCAAAAGAAAGTGGCTCTGCCTAGAAAACAAATTTATATCAATTTCAATCCAGCTTCCTCAAAGGAACATGCAGATGAATATTCATTTTTATTTTAGGTAGACACTTGAACATTCTTGTTTGAAATCTTTGATACCTGTCACAGAATCCTCATTCCCAGGATCACCTTTGAAATGACTGTTGAACCAGTGTTCATTTTGGAATTTGGATATGGGTTGCTATTCAGATTCTAGAAGCTGTTTTTTGCCCAAAGATCCATTAATACCCGAAGTCCTGCTGACTATCTCAGAGCCTTTCTGAGTTTATGTATTCATACAGAATAATTCATAATCAATTCTTGCTTGGAAAACCGGTTCTTCCTTCTAAACAAATAATTTAAAGTTTTGGTCTCCAGTACTATCCTGCACTCCTCATAGCATACAGCTGAACAAAAAAATGGTTTTCTTGCATTCATTTATCACATGTATTTGCAATGAGCATCCTTCTTGCAATTTGAGAGATAATACCGTGATGCTTCTTTAGGTGACCTCCTGTTGGCACATCTCTTTTCATCAAGCATAAGGGCATGCAGATACTGAGAACCTTTGGATTGTTAGGGGAGGACAGGAATTCAAAACAGAGAGAGAAAATAAACAAGACAGATTTTTCAAAATACCTTTCTTCACTTTCTTTCAAGCTGCCAGACAACTTCCCTAAATATTTATTTGTATAAAAATCAAGCATAGCAAATCAGTCTATTTTCATATCTGTTGCTTCTGGGCAAATATGTATATAATTCCCTTTGACCAGACTCTTAACAAAATATAACAATAATAATAATCAAGCATTCTTGCAAACTGTGGTTATAATACAGAGATTCAGGATTTATTTTGAATTAATATTAGAGAGTAGTGGTGGCTCATATATATGCTTTTTCAAAATAATTCATTATGTTAGAATGGTATGAAGGAGGCTATATTCCTACATACATACATATCAGTGCCATGCATAATGGGAGGCGCTATCACACTCCATAAAGATATATTAAAAGAGTGAAATATTATTCTGATGTATGGTGGTGCAGTATTCAAACCCAGAGAATTCTGAATGTTAATATATGATTCCTATGAATTTCTCTGAGGTTTGTCATAACCTTCCTATTCCTAAACTCTTACTTGCTTGTAGAATAGTAATGGAGAAACAGTCTGGTTCTTACTAGCAGAAACTGTGCTTCAGTGCTGAAAACTGCAGAACTTTCAGAAAAATATATGGCAGGCAATAACCGCTTCCTGGCAACTTATTTTGAAGTGCAAGCAAAACCGTCAAGGTCTTCCTGATTAAAGATGTATCCTTCCTGGGGGAAAAACACCCATTGATGTTATCCATTGTACTAAATTAGAACTGATAAAATATTTATCAAAATGTAGATATTTTTAGAGGGCAAGCATCACAACATATATAGGAGTCACCTCATTCATAGGATGACCAAAAGTGGAGAGAGGATGTGGATATATAAATAAGCCCTCCTCCAATGTCTCCACCACCTCAGATTCTGACAGCCAGAAGCTGGAGGAAAAGTTTGAAAAGGACACCCAGCCATGTTCAAGTGAACACAAGCTGAAGCTCTTATTAGGTCTTCTCTTATTAGACTCTTATTAGACCTTCCTTCTCCATCACACTGGTTGGTGTGTCTTCTACATTCTGCTTAAAGTTTTGTGTGAATAGGCTGAGCATCCTCATAGGGCTAAAGAACAGTTAGTACTGTTTTCCTTATAATTGTACACAGCAACATAGAGCAAAAGAAAAAAAACAAGAACATACCACATCTGTACATATAGCAAAGACATACGTACACCTATAGGCACTGAGCCCATGGTGCTGTCCTTTGCTGTTTAATAAGGACCCGAGAGCTCCATGGTTGACCACATTATCCTTTTTTGTTTCGTTGCTTTTCTGTGGGAAAGTATTTTGAAGTTTTATGTTGTTATTATATAATGATATGATGTCCTTTTGATATTGATATCAATATCGATATTCCTTTATATGGCCCCTGAAGAAGACCATTAAAATATATGCATAGGCCAAAACACATTAGGGGGTTTTTTTTAAGTAAAATAAATGGAGACATATTTCCCCTTCTTCCCCTGTGGATTGCTTTCTTTTCTACTTGTATGTTTGTCTTCTGCCTTTATTTAACCTTTGATCCAAGACTCTTAAAATGACATTTTAGCAATCAGGTTGTCAAAAAAAGATCCCCTTTCTCCTTATTTTCAGTCATGTAATATGTCTTCTAACTTCTTTCAGCCTGTAAATGCTGTCTAATTTCCACTCTCCATTTCTCTGCTTTTCTCCTACCTTTTCAGAAGAAAGAACAAGCTAATGTCTCCTTTAGTCTTACATCTGCCTATTTGGTTAAGGTCAGTGCACTGAGCATATAAGAGGAAGATGTGCATGCTTGAAGTGTTTTAGTCCTTCATTCTTTTTTTTCCTTTTTCACAGTTGATCCTCACAGGGGGCAACGGACATGTGGAAGGAGTGTGCTAACAGTCCCAGGGCAGAAAGAGGCTTCTTATACACAATCCAAGCCAGGGATGGGAAACTCAAGCATAATATTCACATTAAACGAAATCTGACTTGTGTGGACAGGGATTATTGTATCAGCATGGGAAAGAACTGCTCTTATTCCCCCATGGTGTTCCCTGTAGATCCAAGATAGAGTGAGCAATGTAATGCCTTGTTCCCCATTCTAATGATGGATTACTTTATTGCCTCAAACCACATGTCTTTGCTACACAGAGATGGTTTGAATGCAGCACATTTTGCTGTGCAACAAGATGTTTCTGAGTATAGCTTGGAATGGACAGAAGAAAGAATTTGGGAAAATTGAGAAACATGTTATCAAATTCATTGTTGCATTACTATGACTTGTCTCACTCATTAACTGTGTAAAAACTATTTTTCTTCTGCAGTCTTGCCAATCAAGGCACAGGCGAGTTAATGGCACTATTGTTGGTGGAATCTGTAGGCCATGCACATGCTTTGGTCATGCGGAGTCATGCGATGATATCACCGGAGAATGCCTGGTAAGTGCTGACTGACAGCAGTGAGATCAGCTCCGTATACCAATGCAATTGAACTAACTACCTTGGGGACTATGAGTACTTAAGGAAAGAAGCAGTGGCTTGACAGAAGAGATCTTTATATTGAACTGTTTCTGAAGTTAAGGAATCTCATGGTAACATGATAAAAAAGCTACTGCAAATAAGAGTGAACAAGAGTACTTCTTTACATTAGTCTGGTAGCAATAGATTTTACAGGAAGCATCAAAGAAAACATTTCAGCAAATTTGATAATGCACAATGTTCTATCTCATCTTTATTGTAGGTTTTACTATCTGCATAGAAAAACAGTAACTGTGACTGCTACTGTATGGCAGTGTACAAGTACGACTGTCTCAGAAAAAATAAACCTATCACCATCCTTGAGAAATAAAAAGATTTGGAGAGGCATGAGACAGGAGGGACATTGTTTAGCTAGAGGAAGGGTAGAGTTACATAGTACATATATTTACTGTAGCAATTCGGAAATTAAATGCCTTTGCTATCCAGCGCACCACTGTTTCCAGCCTGCTCAGTAGCTTTTTCAAATGGGTGAATTGCGCTGAATAGACTGTTCTGAATAACTCAAGGGCATTTTAGTTTTATATTGTCTGACATGGCATGAAGCTTGAAACAACATTTCTCATTTCATTAGTCTTGCAGAAATGCAATTTGAGCCACTGCCAATTTAGCTGGATATCATACTCTAGATTCCCTGCAGAATTCAAGCCAACTCTGCATTGTATGTGTGTTTAAACGCTCCTCCCAGCCCCTTCGTTTCTTTTTCTTCCAAAGGAAAAGCTTCAGGGAAGAATCCACATGAAAATCCTGGGCTTCTACAATGTAATTTGGCATTTGAAATCATCACTGGCATTTCTATCCTCTTCTCTACAAGATATTTAAGTTTTGAACAAGATCACTTAAATAGGTGGATGAGTGAATTTTTAAATTGGGTTTTCATGATTGAATGCCTAAAATGATTCTCATGTTAATTCTCTACTTAAACAGTACTTACAAGAAACAAAACATATGTCATGTTAGCAGCATGGTTTGTGTGTGTGAAGGGGAAAAATCCCTGGTAAAAGGGACTATTTTATTGCTTTTTCATTATTTTGTTTTTCTGATCCTAATGTCCAATGAAATTAATTAAGGTTCACAATAAAACTGGCTGATGGTTTAGAGCTCTGTCCATCAGATAGCAAGTCAATAATTGCTTTGGTGACTAGACTTCAAGAGACAATTTTCTTGTTGCGGTAATCTGCCAATCACGAAGTATCTACAAGAATTGTTTTAGAGTTGCAAAGGAAAAATCAGGGCCTTACAGAATCATTTAGGACCATTTTCTACATTGGCCCAAAGTGAGCTGATGTTGGTCACATTTAAATTGAACTAAAATATTTGAGAGCATTAAAAATAATTTATTATATAGGGGTGAACAGTCTTATAAATCCTATAAATATGTGATTTATATCTACTGTGATGTTTGTGCATATAACTAAACATACTTGTTTCCCTTTATCTGCAGTTCTAGGCCCCTTCTACACTGTCCTTTTATCTCAGGATCTTATCCCAGGTTATCTGCTTTGAACTGGGTTATCCGAGTCTTCACTGCAATATAATATGGGGCAGATAATCTGGAATTTTAAAAAGTAGAGAAGGGACCCTAGGAGCCAACTGAAATATCTCAGAACCAGGTCTTGGGGATGTTCAAGGGAGAACAGAGCCAGATTGGTTTTATGATTGAGATCTGCAGCTTTCAAACATGAAAGAACTTTAGCAGGACTCTCTTTCTTGGTCCAAACACAGTGATTTGGACCATATTTACAAAGAACAGCTGTCAGTGGCCTCATCTACACTACCATATAATTCAGTTTCAGATTGCATTATATGGTAAGTATAGGATCATATAATGCAGTTTAACTGCATTGAACTGCATTATATGAGTCTACATTAACCATATGATGCAGTTGCAAATTTCATTATATGGCAGTGTAGATGGTGCCAGTGACAGCTGAGCAGAAATCAAAAACAGTGTCTCAGAGTCATCTGCAACTCCTATACCTGTCTCTTTGAAATGTTGTGAGTTACTTCAATTAAGGAGATACCTTACTGTATCCCATGTCCATATATCTTGTCTAAAAATGATGCATACTGAAAAGACTGCCATTGCATAAAAATGTTTGCACTTTTCTCAGTTAAATATGTTTGATCCAGAACCTCATTACATTGAAGTCCTTGATGCGGGGGACAATGGGGGAGCCCATAGGATAATGGAGTAAATCTGTTGCCCAGTGCCCCGCATCACCAGCCCACCCACTTACCCATCATAGCTTTCCAGTGTGATCCTGCATGGTCCCCATTATTCTACATCTGAACACGGATAGTCTCCTGTATTCAGGTTTCCCCCTCCTACCAAGCTTCCTTAACGCAGGAAGCACGGAGCCCCACCAGAAATATATGTGTGTCATGAGATGAGATCTGATGGCTCTGTGCCAATTGCATCAAGGAAATTTCAAAGGCCAGGGAATTTATCTAATGTGATGAGGTCCTTGGTTGACTGTTATTGTAAATGTCATCCAGTTTTGACAAGTTATAAAAAGCTACAGGATTCAAAATTCTGTAAAGAAACACTTTAAACTTCACTTGCATTTGTTATTATGGCAGTGGTGATATGCCTTCCAGTGCTTTCAACGCATACAAATCGTATGGTAAACTTTGCCTAAGAAAAACCCATGAAATTTATGGAGTTGCCATATCTGGGCAGGCAAACACACACACAGCAAATCTACCACAGTGGGTTTGGGTGGGGGGCAGGATTTGTTTACAGGCTTTTTCTGAGTCTGAGGGGTTATAACTTGCCCAAAGCCACTCAGTGGGATTCTATGACCATACAATGAGTCAAACTCTATTCTTCTGGGTCTTGTCTATGACTCAGGGTGCATCTGTACTGTAGAATTAATGTAGTCTGAGCCCACCTGAACTCAATCCTATGAAATCATGGGAGCTGTCTTTAGCCTATTTTTGCCAGATAGTCCTGGTGCCTCACTAAACTACAAATCCCAGGATTCCATAGCATTGAGACACGACAGTTAAAATGCTGTCAAGCTGCATTTTCTACAGTGGAGGAGGAGGGATTATATAGCATATACAAAATTGGTAGAAATTCTTGGAGCCCTTCATCCCTGAGGTTCCTTTAGCATCTTTAGTCAGAATGAAGGGAATGGTAAGGGTAATTGTCTTGTGCTTCCCGAACTTTCTCTCTTCCAAAAATAACTGCTCAAGGAGACAAAAAGTTAACAAAACAGGGTATTTTAGCCCTAATTGATGGGCTATAGCAGTTGAAGTGCAGTCGCACTATTTCTACAGTGCAGATGCACCCTCAGACCACTGCACAACACTTGTTCTCTCTTACTTCCAAACAGCTGCCTTTATCTATCAGAAATGTGACAGCTATCAAGGACTGCTGTGCTGGAAGATTTCATCCACTTCCATTCAAAAATAGAAAAGCTACACTGGTTGAATACTTCTTATTTGAAATGCCTGGGACCAGAGTTGTTTTGGATTTCAGATTTTTAATTTTTTTATTATTATTTGCATATTCATGGTGAGGTATCTTTGACCCAAATCTAAACATGGAATTTATTTATGTTTTATGTAGACCTAAAGTTTTATGTATACCTGAAGGTAGTTTTATACGCAGTATTTTTAATAAAGTTGCACATGAAACAAACTTTCTGTACAATGAATAATCAGAAAGCAAAGCAAAGATGTCATAATCTCAGCCACCCATGTGGCCAATTTTGGATTTCCAGATATAGGATACATTTGTTTTGCTATGTGTGTATCAATGGGGATGCATACAAAGTTTTGGATTTCCAACATGATGCAAGAAACTGAGCTGAAGGGGGTCATTCCTGAAGCAATCTGTCAAACCAGTCCAATTTCCCATCTGCTTCTTATCTGTGATGCACATCCCTAGTACTTTTTGCCAAATGGAAAGAAAAAGGCAGAAATATTTGGAAGAAATCAATCCTGGCAAAAGTTGTTGTGGCCAGTGCATTGTTAGTTCTGAATTATAGGGCTCCACTGTTATCTGTAGCAGTGTTCTCTGGCAGATAAACTGCACTATTGCGAAGCCTGGGTGGAAAACACAGCCCTTTAAACCATAACATGTAGTATCTATGTAATCTATTTGCATTTATCCTGTGTTTTCTCTTCACTGCAGAATCCACCCATGCACTATATTATTTCATACAGAGAAAGTGCACAGAAACTAAGTCTTGAAAATCTATTTGGGGATTTTGTGTTCTCTATAAGTGAAGGAGGATTGGTCGGTACCCATGCAGACTGTTAAATGCTGCAATTCAATTTGGATCATAAGCCTTTTGAAGTGAAAAAGAAAGAAAGAGAAGTTTGAGTGCTAAAAAAAGAGGCATGCTTCACATCAAAGGGATTTTTTTCTGTTGAGATGTACTGAGCCTTTTGGCCTTCTCATTACTATTCATGGTGTTTTTTCCAGTAATACAACAGACAATTTAGGCAGCTAATTTACTGATATGTTACTTCTTTTGACTCTTCCTCAGCTTTGAAATATACTTGAAAAGAAACTGAAATACGTTTCTTTGACTCATAATAAGAGCTTAGATCAACAGCTGTTGTCTCAGTCTGTATTTTTTAACCCTTTTCCACATATCTTGGAATAATCCACAAAAACCTTTGACCCACACCCAAGGATCCCTACCAGACCCATATTGTATGTATATTTCCATCAAGAGACCCATGATCCCTGAAATGTAGACTTTGAGAAGACATGTCATATTGTTAACATTGCATGTAAGCACAGATTAAGTGTTATGCAATGGTTTTGAGTTTTAAGGGAGTTCTGAAGAATCATGTCAGAATATTGAGGGTTAGTTCAGAGCTCATGGACAAGTTTAATGAAGAAACTGGAAGTGCTTGACAGCACTGTGGGACCTTTCCCACTCATCTTCCTTTTTACCTGCCAGACTGGCATACACTTTTTTCTTCTTCTTTTCCTGTGAGTGATAATAATAGATTGTTATTACTGTGGCATGTGAAAAAATGTAACCATAGTTACCATTATGATGTGTGAAACCTGCACTTTTATTTCCCACCTATATTGTTGGTCTTCTCAGCAGTTGCAACATGTCCATTCATATTTGTTCATAGAAACTGTAGTTAAACAAACAAATTGAAACATGGTTTAGCCATCATTGATGTGTGTGTGTGTGTGTGTGTGTTGGCTAGCTGGGACATGTTGAGACTCATGTGGTGCTGATAGGATGTCTGCACTTGGATATGTAACTTGATGCAGATTCAGAATCTTAGTTTCCCATTTCATATATCTGTTTCTTTTTTAAAAAAACTCAATGAAAAGTAAATCAAATAGATCAATTTATTCCTTTAGATGAGCAGACAGATGGTTGAGATGTTTGCAAGAGGAAAGCAGTAATATCTATCTATCTAATCTGTCTAACAACACCAGTCTCTTCAATACTGGTCTGAAACTGCCTTAAATGTTTAGTGTAGATGGGGCCCAAATTTCTAGACCGCTATGGCATTGGCTGTTTCTGTTAGTACATATTTCTGTTAGCATAGTATCATCTGGCCAAGGATTAAAAGTGCAACATAAACCAAGGACAAGCTATGGCATAGTCATAGCTGCTTTAAGATGCATCATGGTTGTTGCTGTTCTCATTGTTGTATGTTTCCAAGTTGTTTCTGATTAAAGGTGAACTCAAAGATGGGGTTTTCTTGTCAAAGTTTCTTCAGGAAGGGTTTCCTTTGCTTTTCTCTGAGACTGAGGAACTTGCAACCATTAACCCAGTAGGTTTCCAAAACCAAGTGAGGATTTGAGCCCTGTTCTTCCCAATCGTAATCCAATGCTCAGTGCTCAAATGACTACACCATACTGGCTGTACATACATGCTACAATATTGTTATTACAAACTAAAAAAAGAGGAGGGGTTTGCTTGGGAAGGACTGAGGCAGACAGGTGAAAGCTGATTTGTTTTTATAATCACCAAAACATGGTTTGGTGAATTTATCTCTTTACATCTGAACTGGGCCTCAGAGTCCAGCAGTAACCATGTATACATTTGTTTAGACCAGAATTCTTTTCTTTACAAACATAGCATTTTTGGGAAAATGATACTGGGGAAAAAAGAAAATAATGGAGGTAAGTGTGAAGAAGCCACTTCTCCCCACCCTCGGAAAAAAACTTTGAAGACACATTTTAAAAAATATTGAAAGTGGTCATATCTGCATTGTTTGTTTGTTTTTTAAAAAAATAACTGTGTATGAGAGAGAGGGGGAATGAGAAAGTGAATAATTACCAAAAGACAGTTCTTCTTCTTCTTCTTCTTCTTCTTCTTCTTCTTCTTATTATTATTATTATTATTATTATTATTATTATTTCCTACACCCATATCAACTTGATTTCCAATTTCCTTATGTATCTCAGCATAATGTACTCATAAGGATGTTGAAAAAATAGAAAGTGGTTAAGGATAAAAAGTAGGTATGTTGCCTGAGGTCCTTAAAGGAGGTTCATTAAGAATGTGATAGACAAACAGGCATGGAGCACAACAACCCCTACTGGGATTCTTAACAGCAGTGGTTGTATGATATTCTCAAAGGTTGGTTTTGTGTCTTTTCCTGCCTGTTTAGGACTGTAAGCACAACACAGGTGGCCTATATTGTGATAAATGTCTTCCTGGTTTCTATGGAGATGCTACTAAAGGAAAACCTGATGACTGCCAGCTGTGTACTTGCCCACTGAGTATACCTTCAAACAAGTAAGTTGCAAATTTGGGCTGTAATGTCGAACTCTCCCTGGAAGCATCCCAGGGGAGGTGGAGGGAATAATGCATTTGCTAACACTGTTCTACAGCAAACATGTACAATTCTGCCCCCCCCCCTTTGGGAGATTCTAGACATAGAAATGAATATCAACACAAAGAAAACACTCATAAGCTAAACAGCTTTTGGTCCATTTTTTTCATGTGAACCAGAAGAAAAAGGAAAAGAAATTGAAGCTTTGTTAGCTTGGTTCTTTGGCAAATACTGTTTTCATGTAACCAGGCAAAGGTAGACTTTATGTAGAGATCGTTGGCAGGTGAACATCTTGCACCCGGGAGGCCAAATTGCCCTGACCAATTGGCATGTTGGATGGATGGCCCTTATTGTGGCCTATCTGAAGAAGGTACCAAAAGTTTCCTGGGGTACCAGAAAGATAAAAATAATCTAGGACAGAATTGTAAAATTTCTCCTCTTCTTTTTAACACTTCTTTTGAGAAATACAACCCTGTAGAGATTTACATGGAAAAGTAGGTATCTCACAAATATTCAATATTTTATGTCATGATGTGAGGACTACCTACAATAAGAACCACTGTGTGACTTCTGTGGCCTTTTCACACTATGATTTCAGCACTGTAATTCCTCTCTAATTGCCATTGTAACATCCCATGGAATCCCAGGATTTGCAATTTCAGGACAGATATTTAGAATCCTCTGCCCAAGGTTCCATAGGATACAGGCATTGAAGTTGAATACAGTGCTATAACTGTACAATGTGAAAGGGTCCCTGGTCTCAGACATCCCCAACCACAGTGGGCTATAATATGAAGGCATGAGGCTGCTTTTATCCTATAGGGCCAGAAGAACACCTGCAGGCAATAATCGACAACATAGTTCTCACACATACCATGAATGTGATAAATGAGTGAAAATATGGCATGATATAATGATATAGCTGGATGTAGCACAACTAGCTGCATCATTACTGACATTTGGTCATCACTGACCTAGAATCCAGATTTATGATCAACTGGTATATTTTATTTTATTTTAAGAGGACTAGATGTATGTTGTGTTTGCACTGTCTGTTTTTGATAAGGCCAACTGGCTAATCAATAAAATTGTTTATTCATTCGACCAATCAAGCAGGGAGTGGGAATTACTTTCTTGGTCCATCCCAAAATTGTATAGGGAGTCATACACACTCCAAGTCCCTGAGCCACTCATTGTTAGGGCATCATAAATGACATGTGGAAATATGTAAGTGGAAATAATAGATAGCCAACTTATTATGTAATGCCATTACATATACAAGGTTATACTTTGTAATCTCCAGTGGTTTTTAAACTCTTTTTAGAAATCTCTCCTGATAATTTATCTAAATATCTTTGTGGTTGTCCCCAAGTTGTAAAATGCCCCCTTCCCCAGCTTGATTAGTGCCAACGTTAGCATAATTTCAATATAGAAATAAAATGTGTCATATGGGGCCAAGAATCAGTGATTTGGATTTATTTATTTCATTCTGGGTTTTGTTTTCTTCTTTTATCCTTCTGCCTATTTGTTGTTGTTTTTTGTTGTTGTTTTTTGTTAGGTTTTTATCTGTTTAGGTTGTTTTGCATTGTCTGGATTATTTTTAAAGTTCCTGCTGGTTATACTCCATCTTCTGTGAAACCCTCCACCTTCTATTAAGCAGGATACATATTTTTAAAATAATCAAAGTAAATAAATACTGGTCACAATTACAAGGGGAAATCTGATACTTCCATTACTCTTCAATGTAAGCATTATTGCACTATTTCATGTAGCAAGTGCAATAATGCTTACATTAAAGAGTCAAGAATGCCTCACAGTGGACAGTAGTAACAGGATTAGATAGTTTGAATGACCCAAAGTGTACTCTCTCTATTTCTACTTCTCTATAAATATATACTGATACTCCTAGGGATGTTCCTCCGCCCCTTCCTCTTCCTATTAGTCTTTTCTCTTGCAGCCTTGCTCACTAGTAGGAAGGGAAGGAAATGGCATCATTCACACCCCAATTGCCAGTATAGTGGATCTGCTTCTCTTGGTATGGCTGATGCCCAGTAGACATGTGCATTCAGGGTAAATCTTGCACTGGCTTTTGTTGGGGGTCCTGATGCATTTTTGGTGAGTCGTCCAAAAACAGGAGAGTTGTTTTCAGTTTCTTTCGGTTCGGGGGCCCTGAAAATTGGACCATTATGGGGGGAGGGGTTTCCCATCCACTGGCTCCCCTTCCAAGCATGCATTCTTCTTACTTGGCACCTGCTGTTCCTACTCTAGAGAAAGAGGTGCTCAGCTGTAGGAACTGGCAGGCACACACACATTCCAGGTCTACCTGCACACCATAGCACACATGCCATGTCACATTCTCTGTGTGTGCATGTGTGTGTGTGGTGGGGCATGCAGGCAGGCCACCACACATGCACTCTCTTTCCAAGGCAAGGAAGCAAGTTTTGAAGCACACAAAAGCAGGCTTTCATTTCAAGCAGATTTTTCTGTAGGGAGGGGGCTTCCTGTTTCATGCTTCCAAAGAAACAGAAAACATGAAAGAAATGGTAGGAACAGTAGGAACAAATTCCGCACACAACTCTAATGCCCAGTAAGGTAGATATAAGAGAGCAGTTACCATTGTAGCAATAGTACCATGATCATGACTGCATAAAGATCATTAACATGGAGCAATTAAAGAAGTACACATCCATAGCCATGTTATGAATGCCAGCAATGATTATCTTTAAAAATTATTCATTTGTTTATTGTTTGGTTTTTATAAGCATTTGTTTCTCCTTTTTTGAGTATTCAGGGGACACACTGGGAATCTCAAATACATCTCATCACAACCTGCAGAGGTTCATTGCTAATGGAGGAATGACAGTTATCATTGCTTACTTATATTTATTCCACTATTTTACCCAAGCTTTGTCCTAAGGCTGCAGGTCTGCTGCTGAGTTGTTTGGCAAATTGAATGGCACTATAGTTCCAACAAATCTCTAAATGAAATAAAAGGAAGAATAATTGAGGAGTGATCACTTTAAAATAGTAGAGTGGCAGATATCCTGTTGTTTCAAACTGCTTGTATCTTTCATTGTGCCAGCAGATTACCTCATTACTGTGTGTCAATCAGATACTAGAGGGAGAGAAACAGAGGAAATAAAATGCTAGAAGGCAGAGGTACACAGCTAGGGTAAAATACTATCAGAGGGAATTGTAAACATGCAAATGATTGGGTTGTGAGAGATGCCGCTGTGTTACTGCTATCATTTTTCTTTTAAAAAGAAGGAAACATGAAATAAGACTCAATCTCTTATGTATATAAACAGTTTGAGACTTTAGGATACGTGGAATCATGGCGGATAGTCACTAGCAATTTGAACCACTGACATTGCCATCCAATAAAAGCTTACCTAGGAGCAAGTCCCATTGATCTGAGTAGAATTTATTTTAAAGGAGATATGTATATGATTATGTTGCAAAGCCCTGTTCATGTGATATACTTCACACTCTCATTTAAATAATCCAGACAGCTGCCACTCTCTGGGTCTTTACAGTCCTATTAAAATGCTAACCTTTTGTCATGAATGTGTCCAAAAAGAATGGGAGATGTCTATGAGTATTTTCAGTCCTGATTGTGAATGCTACATTATTAAGGATGCTATCCAGTTGGTGACCCTCACTATCAGTAAACAACCATCTATGGGATGGATTGGATTATTATTTTCAATAATCCACTCTTCAGTTCTCTCACCACTACCAATCTGGTTGGTAGAACATATAAAATGTAAGGTTGCAAGGGGAGAAAACCACCCAAAATCATCAGCCACCCCACCGCTTGATATCTTCTGTCAGCAAAAGGTTATTGATGATACTTAACAAAAATATCCTCATTCATTGATCTCTGTCCCCAGAGAAAGATTTAGCAAATTTTGAAAAACATAATTATTTTCTAAACATGCCTGCCTCCATCTTCCTCTTTATTGCAGGTGTTAGCTGCATTATTTCACCCTCCAAGCAATCTGGGTTTATTGAGTTGACCAATCAATTGTCCTTCAGCTCCAGTGAGATTTAACTGAGGACTTCAGTCTGGGATACAGTATGTTGCCAGGCCCTCAGGGACTCAGACAAACAGCTGTGCATTCCTGCTTTTTTAAATGGTGTGGCTTCTCATTGATAGACTAAAGTCCCATAACAACATGTCATTTAGATGCTGCCACCTGCTTGAGCTATATCTAGTGTCGGCAGAAATAGCCTACTGGCTGGAGCCAAACTTAAGCCCCATGTGTGAGACCAGAAAAACTTCAACCATGCTCTGTTTTGAAAGCAGCGTACTCCGAAGAAGGACAGCAACTATGCTGCTAATGAATTTCTTTCTGTGTTTTCTCTGTGTCCCTCTTCTTGCCCTACATCAACAACAAAGTTTTAGCCCTACTTGTCATTTGGACCGAAGTCGTGGATTAATATGTGATGAGTGCCCCCCTGGTTATGTCGGCTCACGCTGTGAAAGGTAAGCAGGCATCATGTAGATTTTATTTTCTACATCTGACAGTACTTTGTTGAATGGTTCTTTTTAAAGGCTCCTTTACTTTGTGCATTAAACCAGCTGCGTTAGTTATATATACCCATTTTCCTGTTGTCTGCCTCAGTCAGAATGGTGGATTAATTACAACCCCCACCATTGCAAGGTTTCTTTTAATAAGAAATTTAATGATCTCTTCCAAGTTTGTATAGCTGTTTCATACAGCTGACAAAATTGTTTTTATTTAATTTTGAAGATAAGCATAAAGCTACTACATCAAAGAAAGTATTTCTCAGGAAAGTATTATTACCTATAGGATTGGGGGTGGTTGTGCTGTTTTTGTGCACCTATTCATTTTTATTATATTGTTTTATATTCCAATTTTGGCCTGAAAACTAAGAATGTATTTAATCAATTATTCTGTGAATTACCATTTCATTTCCTTTGTGCTGAGCCAAATAATGCAATTGTAGAAGGCAGATTTATTTGTTTTAATTGTTTTGAAAAGCATACTTTAAAACTTGGCTGTTCATAATTCTCCTGTGAAGTTTCTTACTTGGTTTCAGGATTTACAGTAGTGTCACAGTATTGTGAGTGGGATATTTTAAAATGTCTTTGCCGCTTCATAAAGGCACATGGCTTTCTAAGTGACCGAGCAAAAACAAACATAAAAATGTGGCAACATAGGATAATGTTTTTCTATAAAACTGTGTTTGATTGTTTTTTAAAAATATATGTCTTTATGAAATATTTCTTCAATTTTTTTCATTTGTTGCAAAGTGAGTATGACTTTGATTTGCAAGATGTAAAGGAAGGTAAAACTACAAGAAATAGTAAGAGTATATAGATGTATATACTCCTCCCCAAGATTTTAGTTTTAGTTTTATAAAGTTCTCACATACTATTGGTTCTATTCCTTTGCTTCCAGAATTACTTTGTCTGGAATCACCTTGATGAAAAAGTATTTTGTCTTGTTCTTACTAGCAGTAAATGACACAAGTTGACAGACACACAGAGAGAAACTAATCCTAGAAGTTCTTCACATTCATTATAATTTGATAGCTTGATTTATCTTTAACATACATGGCATTTTTTATCTTTACTTGCTACCTTATATCTGTTTGCAAAATAAAACTGCCCTGAAAGGTACTTGATAAATATGCAAAGTTAAGCATTTCAATTAAATAAGAAAGTTTAGTCTCCCTTGGGTGAAAAGATGATAACCATGGTGGTGGTAGCAACATGTGTCCATGGTGGTGGTAGCAACAGGTGGCGGTGTTGAGGAGTTATCCATCTCTCCGTTGCCATGGACCGACCACCACCTGGTCAGCTTTAGACTCACTGCACCTCCTAACCTCCGCAGAGGTGGAGGACCCATTAAGCTGGTCCGCCCCAGGAGGCTTATGGATCCGGATGGATTCCTGACAGCTCTTGGGGAATTTCCCACCACCTCGGTTGGTGATCCTGTTGATGCTCTGGTCGCTCTCTGGAATGGGGAGATGACTAGGGCAATAGACACGATCGCTCCAGAACGTCCCCTCTCAAGTAGCCGAGCTAAACCAGCCCCTTGGTTTACCGAGGAACTGGCAGCGTTGAAGCGAAAGAAGAGGGAACTAGAGAGCGTGTGGCGTTCGGATCCAAGCGAGCCAAATCGAACACGGTTTGTGTCCTTTCTAAGGGCGTATGCCGCGGCAATAAAAGCCGCAAAGAAGACTTTCTTTGCGGCCACTATTGCGTCTGCAAAGAACCGTCCGGCTGAACTGTTCCGAGTTGTCAGAGGCTTGTTAAAACCCACCACTCAGGATGGGTGCCCTGATGACTCGGCAGCTCGCTGTGAAGCCTTTGCTCAGTTCTTTGCAGACAAAGTCGCTTTGATCCGCTCTGGACTGGACACCATATTAACGGCAGTCTCTGAGGATGTAACACGAGCATCTGCTTGTCCAATTTTGATGGATTCATTTCAATTGGTTCAAACCGAGGATGTGGACAAGGTGCTTGGAGGAATGAGAGCTACCACATGCATCCTAGACCCCTGCCCATCCTGGCTTCTAAAGGAGGCCAGAGGGGGATTGGCCTAGTGGGTGAAGGTGGTGGTTAATGCCTCCCTTTGGGAAGGCAAAATTCCAGCTAGCTTAAAACAAGGTGTAATAAAACCGCTGTTGAAAAACCATCACTGGACCCCACTCAATTCGTCAACTATCGGCCTGTTTCCAATCTCCCCTTTTTGGGCAAAGTCATGGAACGTGTGATGGCCTCACAACTCCAGGCATTCTTGGTAGACACGGATTATCTGGATCCGGCACAGTCTGGCTTTAGGCCGGGGCATGGTACCGAGACAGCCTTGGTCGCCTTAGTGGATGATCTGCGTCGGGAGCTCGACAGGGGGAGTGTGTCCCTGTTGGTGCTGCTCGACCTCTCAGCGGCCTTCGATACCGTCGACCACGGTATCCTTCTGGGACGCCTCGCGGGGATGGGTCTTGGAGGTACTGTTCTGCAGTGGCTCCGCTCATTCCTCGAGGGTCGGTCTCAGAAGGTGTTACTGGGAGACTCCTGTTCAACCCCACAACCTTTGTCTTGTGGGGTTCCTCAGGGTTCAATACTGTCTCCCATGTTGTTTAACATCTACATGAAGCCGCTGGGCGAGATCATCCGGAGTTTCGGAGTGCGGTGTCATCTGTACGCAGATGATGTCCAACTCTGTCACTCCTTTCCACCTGCTACTAAGGAGGCGGTCGAGGTCCTGAACCGGTGCTTGGCCGCTGTGACGGTCTGGATGGGGGCGAACAAATTGAAATTGAATCCAGACAAGACAGAGGTACTCCTGGTCAGTCGCAAGGCCGAACAGGGTAGGGTTACAGCCTGTGTTAGACGGGGTCGCACTCCCCCTGAAGACGCAGGTTCGCAGCTTGGGTGTGATCCTGGACTCATCGCTGAGCCTGGAACCCCAGGTTTCGGCGGTGACCAGGGGAGCATTCGCACAGTTAAAACTTGTGCGCCAACTGCGACCGTACCTTGGGAAGTCTGACTTGGCCACGGTAGTCCACGCTCTGGTTACATCCCGTCTTGACTACTGCAACGCTCTCTACGTGGGGTTGCCTTTGAAGACGGCTCGGAAGCTCCAATTAGTCCAACGGGCGGCAGCCATGTTACTAACAGGAGCAGGGCGCAGGGAGCATACAACTCCTCTGCTGTACCAGCTCCATTGGCTGCCGATTTACTACTGGGCCCAATTCAAAGTGCTGGCGCTGGCCTTTAAAGCCCTAAACGGTTCTGGCCCAACTTATCTATCCAAACGTATCTCGGCCTATCAGCCCACCAGGACCCTAAGATCTTCTGGGGAGGCCCTGCTCTCTATCCCGCCTGCTTCACAGGTGCGGCTGGCGGGGACGAGAGACAGGGCCTTTTCTGTGGTAGCCCCTCGGCTTTGGAACGCCCTCCCCATAGAGGTAAGATCAGCCCCCTCGCTGGTGGCGTTTCGAAAAAGACTGAAGACATGGATGTTCGAACAAGCATTCGGTTAACACGGTGCAACGAATCTGACGATCAAGGACTGGTAATCACAGACGATGAAATTGGACTGCGTTTTTAACTAAGAGATGCATTGGTTCGATATTGGTGGCCCAATATTGTATATTATGTATGTGTTTTTATGCTTTTTTAAATGCTTTTTATCTTGAATATTGTTGATTATTGTAATGTTGTAAACCGCGTTGAGTCGCCAATGTAGGCTGAGAAACGGCGGTATACAAGCGCAGTAATAAATAAATAAATAAATAAACATCAATACTAAGAGGAGGTTAGGTAATCAACAAGTATGTGCTTTTTAAGAACTTGTTTGGTGAGAACAAGTGGGAGGGCCTTTTTGGTTGCTGCTCCCAGTCTTTGGAGCACAGACTTTGCTGTCCTTCCATAGTAATGTCAAAATATTCTTCTGTCATCAGGGTTTTTCAAACTAATAGAGGGTTGGGCTTTTAACATTGTGCTAGAATTAGTTTATAGTCTTTCAATGCATGTTAATGTTTTTAATTTGTAATGTTTTAATTTGTATATTGTTGACTTGTATATACTCATGTAAGAGTATTTTTGTCAAAATATAACCCCCAAATCCTTGATCAACTCACCTACAAGTCAATGCATTTTATCAAGACATGCACTTCCTTCTCCGAGTACAGTGTGAGTTTAGACTATATCAGGCGTACCTAAAAGAAGCACTGCCTCCAGCTACAATTTCTGCCATCTCAATGCTTCCCACCTGAATGTCTGGGTGCGAAAACTGTGCTGGTAATAGACCCTCCCAGGGCAGTGTCGATGCCTCACCACACAGTTCAACTCATCCATGGCTTATATCAAAATCCATAATTTTGGTCTAAAAATCTTATACACAGATATATATGGTCATTGTTTTTAGGATCTTGTATTTATACTTTTATTCAGGCTTTTGTATTGTTTTTAATTTGTATAGTTTTAAATATAAACTGACTTTAGTCCTAATATCAAGAAAATTGTGGGATATTAATGAATAATAACAATAATCAAGCTGTTAAACTATATGACTGTGAGCTCCAGGCATTCTTGGTATCATAAACATAAACTTTGGACATATCCTGTCCTGAAGGTTGAGTTACATATGATTATCTGCCATTGAGGTTCCTGTTGATATGTACCCACTAACCACATCCCTCCACAAGGGGAAAGGCCTCCCTTGAACAAAGGAACACTGTTCCACTTCAGGATTTTGTTTCTATAGACTTCAAAACCCACTGGTGGACAGAATGGGTATAGGAAAGTAAGGACCTCATCACACTGAGTCAATAAGGCAGGTAGCAGTGGAGGGATTCGCCACTCTGTGTGGCGAATCTGGTGGGCAGCAGGGGGGGCATGCCCCGCATCTCCTGCTGTGCCCCTTACCTTATTTCATGGGGAAGCGTAATCACTGAGCTTCCCTCTGTTCTTCTGGGAAGCCTGTGTTCTCTTGGAAGCTGCCAGGA